AAAAAAAAAAAAAAAAAAAAAACCCTAACACTTGCTCTAGCCGCCTCGCGTGGTGGGTGCTGTTGTTTCAGGACTCCGTAAAACTCGCACGCCGTCGAAATTTCTAAAGCAAAAGCCAATTCGTATACTGTGTGGCGACTGGCGAGTTGTGAGATTTTATATGTGTGTTGGAGAGAAGGGGTGTTTGGAATTTAGATATAGAAATTTTGTATGTATTTGCTTCTGTATTTGAGGAAGTTTTTGTGTCTGTGTGTAGGGGTGTTGTGAAGAAAGTCTGGTTTTAATTTTATAGCATTATTATTGCTATATAGTATTATCCTTATTTGAATCATATTTTAATTTTCTTAAATCCAATCTATCTTTATCTACATCCAACCTATATATTTTAATTTAAATTTTTTTTCTTGTTTTTTCTTGTGAGTTAGTTTTGTGTTTATTCTCTCATTTGGGAGTTATGTATTCTAGGCGGGGAGTTGTGTTATTTTTTTGTTATGAGCGATTTTGCTATGGAAACATCAGATGACTCGGTTTATGGAGTCATTCATAGTCATTCACAAATGGTGTATTGACACGTGTCTTGCAATAAATGCACATTAGACATGTGTCAGTATATAAAGTTATGGATGACTCCATAAAGGAGTCATCCGATGGCTCCATAGATATTTTGTGTTGGGAGATTGTGTGTTTTGTAGTTTTTGTTAGTTTTAGTAGTCTGTCTTTTGGTTGGGCGGCCTCAAGCTAGTTGTCTATGGGGTTTGTCCTTCCAACTAGACTCAACTGAGTAATTGACTTATTCGATTGTTTAGTTGTTTTCTAGTATGTAAATATATGTTTTTATTATGGAAAACTTCTTTATAAATTCCCAAATCACTTTTTCATTTCCTCCTCAGTCCCCACACAAAATTTTTTCCTCTACACTCTCTACCCCTTTAATCATCTTCCTTTTAACTCCCTCTTCTTAAAATAAATCAAAAACAAATTAACTTATTACATCACCCCACTACCAAACTAATTTTACTTAGTATTTTATTATTTCTCTCTCTTTCCACTACAATCTTCCTTAATTTTTTATTATTTTATCTCTCGCTTTCCATATATTTGTTTATTATTTTTTTTATCATCTTTTACTATTTATCTCTCATAATACTAATTTTTCTTAACTTTTTATTAATTAATATAAATTTATTTTTATATAATACTATCCAAATAGAAAATTATATTGTACTAATCTTTATTTCATATAAATCTATGCTATACTAAATCTATAAATCCATATTTTTGTCTTTCAAATTTATCAAGTAATTTTATAAAATTAAAATATAAATTTTAAATTTTATTAAAAAGTATTTATTTAAAGATCTATTTAATTTTCAAGAGGAATATATATCAACTAGTACGATATATGTGTACTACACGGGTACGTAAATACATTAATATTCGTACAATAGAAAAACTAAAATATTTTATTTTTATATTGTAAATTTATGTATAACGAATATAATAAAAATAATGAATAACTACCAAAGTAATAATTAATTCAAAATGGGGTCCGTATTTTTGCTCTTAATTTTCTTATAATGTTTAAAATCTATGATAAAACGCATCAAACTGATTATGGTGTATTACTGAATTAGATTTTTATTATATTTGTTATAAAATAATTAATGTTTATTTATAATTTAAAAATTAATTTTTTAATAATTATAGTTTTATTTATAATGATAGATGTAATTATTTTTTATTTTATATATGCAATATGGATGTCAAATCGAAGATCATTAAAATATGATTATTTTGAGATATAACATATAAAAAATAAAATAAAATTATAAATATCTAAATATAAATTAAATAAGAAAGAGTAAGAGTAGTATATGGTAACTTGAGAAAAAAAAATCTAAAATAGTTTATGGTAATTTTCAAGCCTAAAACCGAACATGTACACGTGTTAATACAAAGCGATTTATAAAATTATCATTAATATATTATGAAAAGCTATTATATAAATATGCTAAAAATTGAGAATTATAAATTCGACTTTCATACACGTACCAAATAAAATTCATACCACTTATTTTATTTTTAAAATTAAGTTCTATCCATACCAAATAATATTCATATCATTTAAATTTGAACGTTTCATGCCAAAATAAAACCGCCCTCATTTTATTAAGCCTCAACTATTATTTTATTCTAAAATTCAGTATCATATAATATTATTAATGTAAGTACTAAAAATTGACAGTAAATCGATGAACCTTCTGATGATCTCAGAATCCAGAAGGGAGTATTTAAGGGAACTTTATTTTTGGTATGAATAAATTTTAATTTTAATTAAGTCCAAAGGACTGATTATTTATGTTATTAGTTTGGCAGGACTTTGGGATTGAGGGGGAAATACACTTTCTATAATCTAAAAAAAAGGAGGATCGCGAGATTCACCTTCCATAATCGAAGATGAAGAAGTTCGAGAAGATTTACATTCTTTATCCGCATTTGTCTTGGGTGAAAAGACTTTCCAAATGATGTTGAAGATAAAAGGAGGACGAGACCAGAGTTGAGGATGACTTTTGATCTGTATTTTTTAAGTTAGATATTTTTTTCTTTCCTTGAGTGAAAAGATCACTCAGAACATTTTGTAAAAGAACGTTCGGAGGTTCGTTCTTATAGTTTGAGGGATTCGAACTAGAAAATCCACAAGGGAGTTGTGGTCGGATAAGTAGTTGTGTGAATCATTATTCAAGTAGAGTGTAGAGGGAGTTTATACTGTAAACCCTTGGATGATGTATGAGTTGTTCACATTAATGAAAGAGATCTGAAGGGAGAGTGGGACGCTCTCCTGAAGGTTCAATTCTTATTGAAAAACTGCTTCCGCAATTGTTTGAATCTTCATTACTGCCTGTCTATCCGATTGACGTGCAACTCTGGATACTTGGTGTTCAAGTATCAAATTTCAATTAAAATATTTTTTTTTAAATTAACAACCCAATTTTATTACATGCAAATATTTGATATTTCTAACAAACAAAATTTTATACTCTAACAAATAGAATGGTGGATTTGGGTTGTACCAAGTCTGAAACCAAGTGGATTTATTTTTTGTCCTATTTTATGCAACACGAATTTCTACTTACGTTGTGTAGTATAAGAGCCAAAACGCGACGAATTAGTTATAAACATTTTAATATACTAGAAAAATATAATTTCAATATAAATGACCGTTAAGGCAAGATTATATTATTTTATTGTGAAACCCCGTGCGTCAAGAAGACCTAAATTTTTAAATATTTATTTGTTGAAAATTAAGAACATCATTTATTTGTTTTTAAAAGAAAACGAATATATACTATGATTCGATATCAGCCAATTTAATGCATGATACATCATGTTTATCAATTTCATATATGGAATGTTTCGCCTAAGTGATGTTAATTGTAATAAATATGGAATGTTGCGGTTGTGGATATATTAGTGGATTATTTTTGTTTATATTGAAATTAAAAGACAAATTTGTTTACATAAAATGAAAATTATCTAAAAATAAAATCAAAATATTTCTAAATTTCAAAATTAAAGCTCTATTGACTCCATGACCACTTGTCGAGTAAACATAATTAAACACATGCAAATACTCATAAAACTAATGTATAAGTGATTTTGAGTAATATAAACATCATTTAGGACTGAAATTCAATGTTTGTTTATGTTCGTTGAAATTGGTGATGAATACATGATATTGGCTCCTAAACTACCATTTAATGGTTACTGTCTAGTGTCTAACTCAATGAAATTAAGTGTATTAGTAGTGTTTTCTCATTAGTGTGTCAATTTCATGACCAATTTGCGATTAAATTCAATTAAAAATATTTTAAATCTCATTGAAACTAATGTGAGAGTGTTTATGGGTCATATAAACTTCATTTGAGACTGAAATTCAGTTTTTTTATGTGTTCATTAATGTGGTACTAAACACCCAATATCAAGTACTACAACAATATAAAACTGGTACTATCTTACTCTATGTCTGGCACTACTTTTTGTAAATATTGACCAAAATTAAAATATTCCATTTCGTTCACAAAAGTAGGTACTAATCGATCAAAAAGAGGTACCACACAGAAGAATATGCAGTATTATTATGCTAAAACATGTACTCTTTTAAGAATCGTG